ATCCAATTTGTGCCAAGAACCTGAATGCCTTGAATTGTGCCTGATTCCCAATTCAGAGCTAAGATTCCCTACATCGCCCAGGAGAATCTATAATAATAATAGGCTTACTCTGTCCAGAGCACTCCGATTGGTTGTCTCAGCAGCCAATCACAATACTTACTGAAACAACTAGTCCGAGTGCTCGGGACAGATCGCATGAGCTTGTTATTATTATAGATCCTGAGGCATTTCAAACAGATATGCTGGCAAGTCAGAGCTACAATGAAGCACTGCGGGGGCCCCCACCATGGAATGGGCAGGCTCAGCCTAAGGGGGAGGGAGACGTAAAAAGAGGTGAGGGGCCCAAACCTTCCCCCCCCCCCCCCCCGGAGCCTGCCCACCTCTCCCGCGGCTGAGGGACAAGCTGTGGGGGGACCCTAGTGCTTCCCTCCACAGCAGCAGCACCCCCTGGGACCACCCAGGCAGGGTGCCAGTGGATGAGTACTGCCTAGGGGGTGCTGATGCTGTGGAGGAAAGCACCGGGGTCCCCAGCAGCTCAGGGGCTGCGCAACCCACCGGCAACTTGTCCCCCAGCTGTGGGAGATGCAGGCAGGCTCCAGGAGCAGAAGAAAAGATCAGGCCCCTCAGCCCCACCGTGGAGCCTGCCCGCCTGAGCTGCCACTGGGTAGTGTATCCCCCTTAGTTGCAGGGGATGGGTGGGGCAGTGCTTCCCTCCACAATACCAGTGCCCCCCAGGGCTGCCTGGGCAGGGTGCTAGCTGTGCAGGTGCAGCCCCAGCTCACAGGCAACATCTGCTAGGTCCACCAGTGCAGAGGGTGCTGGAAGCCTGGGCATGCTTGAGGAAGCTTGGGCTTGGCAAGGCTTCCAGCACCCCATGCACCATCCCTGCCACCTCCCAGCCACCTGGGACCACCTGAGAATGGGTTGGCTGTCCTGGGAAAGCAGTAGGAGCACAGTTGGGTGTGTTGGCAGCCAGAGAAGGCAGCAGGGGCAGTTTATAGGGCACTGGAAACCCACCAAGCCTGAGCTTCCCTGAGCCCACCCAGGCTTTCCAGTACCCCACACGCCATCCCCACTGCCCTCTCCAGATAGGGCCCTTGTACACATGAGGACTATCACTGTAATTTGTTATATAGCTAACTAAAAAATACATGGGATGTGTTTTAGTTTGCTGCATAAAAATATGATTTAAATTGTAACATGCTGCCAAACGTGTGCAGTGTTACGAAATTTAATTGTAACATGCCACTGAACATGTACACTGTTACACAATTAAAAAGGGTAATTAAACCACTAAAAGGGGCAATTTCCTCGTGTATGCAATGGCCCTTAGTCATGTGTACAAGGGCCCTCTTATTCTATGACTATAAGCAAGTCACAAGGTCAGACTTTTGATAAAATATGTATTTATATACTGAGCCTGTGTTTAGACATGGACAGCTTTATGTAGCCTTTTTGAGGGTGAGAAGTTTTGATTGTGTTAAAGTAGTCAGTCAAAGGATAACTAAAAATCCTGTATTTAAAGAAATACTTTTGCCATAAAAATTTAATTGCAAAGGTTTTGCAAGTTTCAGCTAGTATACTAATATTAATGGGAAATAGATGTCTAAATCCCTTAGGCCACTTGCAAAAATATTTACTTATCTCTCTAAAATAGAAATGACATTTGCCATAGAAGGGACATATTCAATATTCTGCACATTTAATGAGGCATAGGTTTTATTGGGGGGGGGGGCGGAGGGAAGGGTGGAAATGGCATGTGATCAGCTATCATCTGCTTAGAGGCTGTAATGCAAAGAAAATGCCATCCAAAGCAAATTAAGGTTGATGAGGCAACCTATAGTCTGGCATTTCCTAAATTCTGGGTGCTTGATTCTGCAATCTTAACATTCTATTAATGTAGTTTTCCGTTTGATATGTTTAATATCAAGTTTGACAAATCTGTGGATTGTGTGTACTGAATACCAAATTATTGGCTTTGATATCTAAAAATAAAATAGAAAGAGGCACCAGAAATACACCAAAAAATAGATGGTTGCACCAGTGAGACTTTTGCAACAACTGAAGACACAAAATAATATGAACTCCAACCAAAACAGGAAAACTGCAGATATGTGTGTGTGTATATGACATCCATCACCCCTGTTCACAAAGCAAACCTGAATCTCCTGCCAGGTATTGTAAAACTAAATACAGATGGTTGAGAAAAAGGAATGCTGGGAAGCTTTCAAAGTGTTAGAATAAATAAAAGCCAAAGTTCCCATTGCTCACAAATTAGCTCTGAACGGGTATTCAGGCTCACATGGATTGCTTGCTATATTACAATCCAAAAAGCTCAGCCCATATGTTGGCAAATGCACCTGTTTCCATGAGATATTGATATCCCCAAGGGTACTGCTGAGCATACTCTTGCTACCGTCATGTGTGGGAGGCTGGCCTGCTTAAATAAATGTTTATTTTTAATAAAAAACCTTAGTAAAATTGCTTCTTCCACAGACTTCTTGAGCAAAGCTAAAATTGAAACAGCAACTTTTCCATGACATTCTACCTCTACTGCTTCCCAGAGAGTCCAGCTCCATCCCTACCCCACAAGCCAAGGCATTTGCTCAGCACAGCTCCAGAGAAAACTGAAATTATTTTAGCCTTCCCAATAAAGCAGTGGTTCTCAGGCTTTTTCCTGCCGGGACCCATTTGCAAAGATCCATGGCCTGTCCCAACCCACACCCCCGGCCCTGCTGGTGCCTGACTCAAAGTCCCCTGCCCCCCCCAGGCCATGTTGGCATCCCTCACTCCTGACCCACAGCTCCCCGCTCCCCCAACCGTGCTGGAGGGGGAGCACAGTAGCTGTACCGGCTCTGGCCCATACGGGTGACAGTGGAGCAAGTCCAACCCCCACATGGGCTGGTGGGAAGAGGAGGAGAGACATGTCCCCATCCTCACCCACCCTCCACCCCACGGGGCTGCCGTGTTGTGCCAGGCAGCCTGGTCATGGCCCCTCCCACCCAGCATCTCCCAGCCACCCCATCAGGACATTGGCCCCTGGTGCTACCAGCCCAGCCACGCAGCCCTCTCCCCACCCCTTCCCCTGCTGGAAAGGGCAGGTACCTTCCTGCCACCCCCTGCCCTGCCACAGCTTGTGACCCTTTGAAATGTGCTTGTGACACTTTTGGGTCACAACCCACGGGTTGAGAAATAGCATCATAAAGGAGTGGCTTGAATGCTTTGAATCAGCTTGGGTAGCAAGAATGTAAAGCTGACATCCACTCACAGACTGGCTTTTTGGTTCCTCATGATATTAAGCCACAGCTGGTGTACTTAAAATCGAAGGATATTGTGATTGTGCAGTTCTCCAACTCCTTAGGTTATGCCTGCAGCATATGCAATCTGTCCAAAGAGAAGCCATTTGGATTTGGAGCTCAGGCTTCAGACAATGCCTCTATGGCAATGAGTTCCACGCAACCTAGCAAAAAAGCTGGTAAAGGCCATAGCATTTATATAATGCCACAAGTCACAATTTTGTAGGAAAACATTATAGAATCAACGTACACCCTTGTCTGTCTGAGTAGACTGAGGCACTAGTTCCCGATTGTTGTTATAGCAGGAACATGGCTGTTTGCATCTGGAGGCCAATTTAACATCTGAAGAAGTTAGACTCTTCTAACAGAGGCCTCTTTTTATAGCTTGCCGCTTCTCATTTCCCAGAAAAAGCTCTCTTTAGAGAGAAGCAAATCCTTATGCAGAGTCAGACAGAGTGGATTTCATTCCAAAGTTTCCTGCCTTTCAGGATAGTACACACATTGCCTCTCCTGCTCCATATTTAAGCAGCTCATGAAGTAGAACAGAAGTAGCAGGGGAGATCAGAAGTAATCCTGCCCTATGATGCCCTTTAGTATGGTGGTATGACATTCTGCAGAAGAAGAGACTGAGGGGGGATTTGAAAGAAGATGGAGCTGGACTGCTCTCAGTGGCACATGACAGAAAAAGGAGCAACAGTCTCATGTTGCAGCAAAGGAAGTTTAAGTTGGATAATAGGAAAAACTCTCTTGCTAGGAGGGTGGTGAAGTACTGGAACAGGTTACCTAGAGAGGTGGTGGAATCTCCATCCTTGGAGGTTTTTAAGGCCCAGCTTCACAAAGCCCTGGGTGGGATGATCTAATTGGGTATGGTCCTGCTTTGAGCAGGGGGGTTGGACTAGGTGACCCCTAATTTTCTATGATTTTTCTTAGAGATGCATGATGTGATTTTAAATTCCCTCAGGTAAATGGTAGATTTAAACTCAGAACTCACACACACCTGGGTTGAGTACCATTACCGCTGTAAATTACTGTTCCTATTATCATGGCTCCACCAAGTGCAAGTCATAGTTCAGAACCCCATGGGCTGGAGACTGTACCAACTGAACAAGACAAGCCCTGCCCCAGAGAGCTTACAGGTTTTTATTTCAAATACCTAAAAGCAAGATATTTTGGAAATGCTGAAATCATTTGTTTTGCAATTGTCAAAATAAGTTGTCTGTAATATTTCTAAAAGCATTCTGACACATTTCAGCTGAAGCTGTTTAGTGAATTTGATCCAAATTTGTAAATTGTTCTAGCTGCCCCAAAATTGCATTGTTTAATGAATAAACGCTCTACTGGAAAAAAAAAAAAGATCCACCCAGCTGTAGACACACGTTAGCCTAAGGCATCCCACATCCACTGGGGCTGGGAAGAGGGGAGGACCAGAGGAGTAGATTACTGCAGACATGAAAAAGAGGTACTTCCCCCCCACCCCATGAATGCAACATGGGGAGAGGGAGAGATAAGGGGGGTTGCATTTAGGAACCACATGCCTCTTCTGTCCACTCTCTCACTCCCTTCTTGTGCATGGGACAGAGGGAAGCATGAGGTTCCAGACTTGGGGCTTGGAGCCACAACCAGGATAAGAACATGGGACAGGATCTTTGTTACTCTAAAACCAGTGCAGAGAGGGGCTACAAGTTGATCTGGAAAGCAACTCACCTCCTCAGTCCAGAGTAACTCTCACAGCCTCACTACTTTATAGACCTGCTGTCCCTGGGAATAACCCACGGCACTCAGCAGCCTTGGAGAACTAGAGATTCATATATAGCAGAGAGCAACTCTCTAGCTCTCCCACGAGCACTTCCCTGTGAAACAGAAGCAAAAGGAAGACAGTGGCTCTAGCAAAGCTCTTTGCCCAATGGAACTACACAACTGTAACACAGTCGAGAGGAAAGAGACTTAACAGTGGGGGTCTACTACAGACCTCCCAACCAAGGGGAAGAGCTCGACTAGGAATTCTTAGGTCAGCTCACAGAGGTAGTGAAGGCTAAGGATGTGGTAGTCATGGGGGACCTGAACTTCCCCGACATCTGCCGGGAAGAGCAGTCAGCCAGGTCTGACCACTCACGTAGGTTCTTAGACAGAGTGCAGGACCTCCACCTAACCCAGGAGGTGCACAGCCCCACCAGGGGGGATGCCTTGTTGGACCTAGTGCTGGCCACGGGTGATGACCTGGTGAGGGGGCTGCGGGTGCTCGACCACCTGGGCGACAGCGATCATCGCCTGCTGGAATTCACCATCCAGCCAAGGTGGCAAAGGCATGCACAAGGCAGCAGCCCTAGATTTCAGGAGGGCAGACTTCAATGAGGTAAGGAGAAAAGTCGGGGAAGCACCGAGGTCCCGGAGGGGAGGGGAGCCAGGTGTCCAACGAGAGTGGTCACTCCTTAAGGAGATGATCCTCCAAACCCAAAGGGAGGTAATCCCAATGCGGATCAAAGGGAGCAGGAGGGCACACAAGCCCCCATGGCTCACCAAAAGCATCTGGGAATGTCTCCTAGCTAAAAGGGAGGTGTGCACCCAATGGAAAGGAGGGGACATCACCAGGGAGGACTATACTGCAGTTGCTCGGGGATGTAGGGGGGCGGTCAGGAAGGCCAAGGCAGAGATGGAACTGGGACTAGCTTCCCAGATTAAGGACAATACGAAGTCCTTCTTTAAATACATAGGGGGTAAAAAGAAGGT